CTAAGCCGCGCGATTCAGGGTCTGGGTGGGCTAAAAAGAAGGATGCGCCAGGTACAGGGCCGCGACACAGGGGGAATAGGAAGAATGGGTTATTTTCTGGGTTGCGGGGGTTCACCTCGAGCCAAGGGAGGCCAGCAGGCCGGTGCCGAGGCCTACCCGCTGGGTGACCCCGGAGCTATGGATAGGCAACCATCCATGGGAAAGCGGCCTGGAGGGCCCTCGCTCGCGCGGGGGCCGATGCGCTCGACAGGTGGCGCCGTTGCCGGGGATATCGGCAAACTACCGTTGTCCCTGGTGGAACGACACTCGGGTGATTTAAGATTTTTGATGAGAAATATAAATTCATTATGGTAAAGTATCTATGTGGGTTTGGTTTAAATATTTTTGAAAACGAAACTAGCTTTATCTTTATGAAATTTTATCGATTGAGTATTAATATAAGTTATGTTTTTTGCGGGGTGATACAACGACGAAGGGAGCATTCGCTCACACGTGTCCCCTTCTTGAAGGTGATGAGGTTGCTGAGTTTCTGCTAGCTTTCCAGATTTTGTGGTATGTCAACCGTAGGTTGACCAAGATTTTATTTTGGAGTTTTTGTAATTTCAGTCATTATTGTTGACTTCTTTTGTAATGTTTGACGAGTATTGGTGACTGAATCCATGTGATTTTGTTAAAAAATTATTATAGATTTCAATTTTGTATAAGTTTTTTTTGTGAGGGGTGAATGGATTTTGTTCGAGTGAAAATATTTGTGATATCTACTGTGAATCGTGTTTTTTTTCATTTCATTATAATGAGTGATTTATTGTTATCATATCTTGATGAAATTCTGATATGATTGTGAGACTCTGTGTATTTGGTTATGAATGTAGGATTTGTAAGTACAAGTCTAAGGAGATGATGTGTACTTGGGACATATGCCTGCGTGTTATCGTCAGACATATGGCTCGAGTATTTATCTTGCCTTATGACTTGGTTTTGTGTCAGTTGTCACGTAGTGAGGAATCCTAATGCCGTGAGCCGAGTAGGCGGTAGTGAGGCCTGCGCCGGAACTTTGTTCCTGGTCCATAGTGGGATGCTGTCATCTTTCCTTTTGGGGAGGATGACTACACTATCGACGAAAGGGAGGAAGGTGTTGAGATCTTGATAAGAATGTTGTTTGCAGGGTAGGCGACTGTTCTTGTCACGAGGGAAGGAGTGATTACCCAGCCTTCTGCCAAAAATGGTCACCTTGCCTCCATAATCAAGACTTAATCAACCTTGGTTATGTAAGGTGAGGTAGTTCTACTTTGTTTACGACGGACTAATCAGGGTCGAAAGCACTGGAATCGGAGGGAAAGTGGTGAGGCTCGAGTCTAAAGCGGGGCTTGACGTCGAGATGTTATCCTTTTTTGGATTACACCACTCCTCGACGCATTCACAAGACATGAAGGAGATAAGTTATGCATGACAATTAAGTTGGAGTGGGAATTAGCCGGAGTGGACAAGGACTTTTGGAAGGGTGATTTTTCTTTGGGATGGTGACGGCACACGCTGTAGTATAGTGTAAGTATCCTTGTGTTTCGTGGGGAGCCCGGGTTAAACTCCTGGCAACGAGAGACAGGTTGAGGTGTTAAGAATGCATCCCCATGAACATAAGAGACGCAGGTTAAATTCTTTGCAGCGTGTGTTGTAATGATGAAAGACCCGCAGGGGGTTAAGCCTGACGAGACCTAGACAGGGGGTAATAGCCTGAAGAGAGTCCCATCAGGGGGAGAAGCCTGACCCATCTATGAGAGACAAAAGGAAGGATGAGTGGCCGCCAATGGGATGATGCAGGGATCATTCTTCTAAAATGTTCTTGTAATTCCTCATGTTGGGTAAAGCCAACGGTGGGTTCCAGATTCCGGCGAAAGGCCTGCCAGAGGTTATTTCTGGCCATATTCCAACTCGTGATTGAATGAAAGTGCTTTCAAAGGAAGGTTCGAAAGAATTATAAGGCTTGAAAGTAAGCCTCTGCGTTAAAGGCTTGAAAGTAAGCCTGTGTCTGTTAAAGGCTTGAAAGTAAGCCTGTGCGTTAAAGGCTTGAAAGTAAGCCTCTGTCTATTAAAGGCTTGAAAGTAAGCCCTTCTTGTTAATGTTATCGTGAGTAATGGAGTTTCCACGGAGTATTTCATAAAAAGTGTCCGGAAGATCATGAAAGGGAAGAAAGATGAATGGCGGGAAACGTCGCTCATCACGTATGAGTATGTAAGATCTGCATTAATTCCAGATATATTATGATTATGTGATATATTTGGTGAGATCTTATAAAGACTTCTCCTTGTATTGGCTTATGGTAAGCGACGGGGACGTCGCTTAATGGGGGCGGGGAAGGCTGTCGGGACAGAAACCCTTGTGAGGGTTTCTGCCCGAGTTTTTCAAGGTCGGACACTGCCCAACCTGTTTTTTGTATTGGGAGACTTGACGAGGTTGACGTTGCCAAAGTTCTTTAGACCAACCCTATAACTGAAAGACCTAAAGACTGACGTCGATGATGTATGACGCCGTTGACGTGTGGCGTCATCAACGTTCGTTCGAAACAGCGGGAGCCGCTAGTACAACCTGTCGTCCGTGGTTCTCGACGAGACCGCAGTAGTGTGCGGTCATGGGAAAGTTAAAATTAGACCTAGTCTATCAGCCGCGCGATTCAGGGCCTGAGTGGGCTAAAAAGAAGGATGCACCAGGTACAGGGCCGCGGCACAGGGGGGATAGGAAGAATGGGTTATTTTCTGGGTTGCGGGGGTTCACCTCGAGCCAAGGGAGGCCAGCAGGCCGATGCCGAGGCCTACCCGCTGGGTGACCCCGGAGCTATGGATAGGCAGCCATCCATGGGAAAGCGGCCTGGAGGGCCCTCGCTCGCGCGGGGGCCGATGCGCTCGAAAACCACAAAAAAATATTGACAAAAATTTGAGGCCACACGGGCCTCCGAAAAAAAAAAGGGGGGAAGTTCCTTGTTTTTTTTTGTGTGTGTGTGTGTGTTGTTTGTGTGTGTGTGTGTGTGTGTGTGTGTGTGTGTGTGTGTGTGTGTGTGAGAGAGAGAGAGAGAGAGAG